TTCTGGTACAGTTGTACACATGAACGAGAGGTTTAACATATTCTTTCCATTTTGACTTCTGTTTCGGTTCAAGAGTTCCTAACATTGCCAGCAGTGTACGATTAAACCTTTCTACAGGGTTTCCTCTAGGATGGTATGGATTCCTATCACAGCACATAGCTCTTTTATCAACTTGGACTCGAAATCTGAACCTTGATCTGTATGTAGTCTTTCTGGTATTCCAAAATAGATTATGAAATTATCCAAAAGACATTTGGCGACCGTTCTTGCCTTTTGATTTGGCTTTGGAATGGCAATGACAAACATGGTGAAATGGTCTGTCAGCACAAGAATGTCTTTGGTATTGCTGGTATCAGACTTAATACTGAGGAAATCCATACAAATGAGTTCCAATGGATGTAAAGTCCGAATGTTCACCAATGGAGCAACTCTTTCTGGCAGACTCTTCCGACAAACACAACGTCCACATGTTTTTATTTTCTGCTCCACCTCCATAGCCATTCTTTGCCAATAGAATCAAGCTCTAACAAGGTCCAGGGTTCGCTCCATTTCTGGCGGGCCATGTCATTGTGGAGACTACAGAGAACAGATTCAATACCAATTGGTCTGCTGGAAGGATCAATTGGTATTTATGTTACTCATGCTCCTCCCGCTTTCTGTAAAGAATGCCATCAATCATCTCCAGTTTAGTTAATTCTCTAAGGAGAAGGAGGAGGAGGAGACGGTGTTGTGTATCCTGACAGGAAGTCCATGTGTATCTTCAAAGTAGCAGAAGCTACTATCAGGATAGTAGCTACTATCAGGATAGTAGCTACTATCAGGATAGTAGCTACTATCAGGATAGTAGCTACTATCAGGATAGTAGCTTCTGCTAGCAGGGGTTTGTCAGCCAGTTAGTCGTTATCCAGCTCACAAACTTGAATTCTTAGCACTAAAATGGAGTGTAACAGAAAAGTTTTATGATTTTTTGTATGGAGCGGATTTTACAGTGGTCACTGATAGTAACCCCCTTACTTATATCCTGACATCAGCTAAGCTGGATGCTACCAGTCATCGTTGGCTGGCTGCACTTTCTACCTTCTCCTTTACGTTGCAGTATCGAGTATCTGGATGCTGATGCATTTTCTCATCGTCCCTGTGGAAAACCTGTGACAGATGAGGTTGCACATAAAGATCAGGAACTCATCTCTCTGTTTGCTCAACAACATCTTTTAAACAGCAGCAACAATGAGATATTACCTGAAGTGATTGATGCAATTTGCCAAAGTCATCTAGTTCGGACCAGAGTTGAAAGGAGGGGTCACAACAATACAGATCCTGGTGCAGAAGCTCTCCTCTCATAGACTGAGTCCCACACTGGGGAACTGGATTCTGGTCTTCATTGACCAACGGAACTTAGACTGTCAGGATACACAACACCGTCTCCTCCTCCAGCACCTTTAACACTGGCTCGTCGCAGGCAGCATGCTGAGCCTCTTCTGCCTAAATGATTCTTACCTCAGCAGTGGCTGCGCATTTCTGCTGAAACCATCCCCACCAACTTCGACCTCACTGCAGGGTGTGATTGCCTTCTTCTTTCACTTGCATAATATCTTTTTGACAACTAGAAAAAACCATAATGCTCAAATTGTTGAATGATGACCTCTGGAATTTCTGTTATGAGACAGAATGGGGACAAAATGGGATAGTCCTCCATCTTGTCTCAAGAGTCTCTTTGTGAAGCAATTTCTATTGCTCACATACCAGCCAGTGTTGTTTTTCCATCTAACATCTGTTGTGGCTACAAACTTGATTATCCTGCAGATGGAGAAATTTTGAGCCAGTGGGAATGACAGTGGAAGCTGTCTGGAGAAAGGCTAAATGACCTGCTAAACCTTGTCCTGTGTTACACTGCTGAAGATGACAGATGAGTGTCCTGGCATAGACGTCTAGAAAATGAAATAAGTGACAGCTTAAGTACAAAGGATTGAGGAAAAGAAAGAGTGCACAAGTTCAACATCAACAGAGGAGGAGTTGAGCCAATAAGCCATAAAAGGACGGCCTGACCACAACTTCCGGCTACAGTCTGCAGAGAGCAGGTCCAGTCAGAAGGATATGAACAGAAAGCAGAGAACACAGGGAGGTAGTTAGGGACTAAACAAGTAACACATTGTCACTGTGGTGCTGTCAGCTCCTGTTAAAGCTGATGAGGAAGTGGACATATTGTCTTTGGCTCTCAGTGCTGCTAAGCCAAGACTGCAGTCTGACCTTGGACCTCAGCTATGCCTTGCCTTTTCCAAAGGTGGTTTCTAAAAATGTTGGGTAGTTGGAGGAGACACAAGTATTAAATAAAACTCACTGTGGTTCTTTTTAAAACAATTGCAACTTTTTTGTGAGTAGTTATAATTCCAGAATTTCAATCCCAATAACAAGAAAATTAGTTGCACAAAGGCCAAAATTACTCTTAATTTACAATTTTTCTTACTAAATTTCATGTTCATATTTTCCACACTTCAATAATTTGCTGTGTGAAAAATATTAATACTTTCTATGGAATGTTTAAGACTGTGTCTAAAAAACGGTGGCGAACATTTGTTTTGAGAAAAAGCTAAATTTCCCTAATGTTTTTCTGAGACGTAGCACTGTGACTCCCAGAATTGAAGAACTACCATTTGATAGAAACAGGCATCTGGGCACTAAGGGAAGGGATGGGTGCATCACAACAACTGCTCAGTTATCCATCTTTCTGAGACAAGCTGATGAGGACTTCAACGTAACAAGAAAACGTCTAGCCTTCCACACATACACAGCCAGACTACAGGCACAGATTCATTCACATCTGGCTGTTCAGTCGATGATAGAATGAAACAACAATGGAGTAGAACTGAATGAGTAGAATTAAAACTTATTGTCCACTGACCTAGGCTGGAGAACGGAGTGGACCAAGGAGGTCACTACAGCACTCACCATCTGGCCCTCTACCTAAAGTAACTCAAGTTTGATCAACAAAGCAATAGAAGAGAAAATTGAATTAATTACAGAATTATTATTACTTAATTTTAATCCCATCTGAACCCTGTGTGAGGATGTTGGGCATTTTTGCAGCGACAGCAGCCTCAAACCAGCAGCAAGCAGACAGAAACATTTACCTCCCACACCGTGGGCTCCTGCTGAGAGAACCAGTTGCTCCCAAGATCACACAACAGTCATTTGTGCACAGACTTGTGCACACCTGGATGCACTGTATTATATTAGCTCGCTGAACGTCATATGTGTGGATGTTCAGCCCACTGGAAACATCCAGAGCAGGAATGGTTTGGGAGTTGTTAGTTCAAATCCCAGAGCATAGAACCTCTGAATTAAACATTAACTCCTTAGTAGGCTGAGTGTGAAACCAGCCAGAAGCACATTTCCCGGATCAGAATCGCCATGCGCCGTCAGGAGCACCCTGGCAAATGAAGCAAATCAGCCACACGGCTTAGATGATGTAAACCGTTCCTCAGTGAGAGCACAATAAATAGACTCCCATTCCAAACCTGGCATTGCATTTTTTCTACTACTCCCTTCCTCTAAAGGTAATTTAGAAAATGCCCCCTGACTCATCAGGTGCATCATCTGTCTGAGATTAAAGACACCAGACTGAAAGACATGTTACTACATCAGAGTCATGTCAGGAACTGCTAGTTGCTGACTGTCTTTGATAAGCAGTCATCAGTTTTCAGTTTTTTTTTTTATATCTTTCACAATGAAACATTTTGTCTAAGAAAGGCAAAAATCCCACAGTGGGAAAGAGTTTTCAGACAAATTTCTGACAGCAAAAGGTTGGTGAGGTCTCTAAAACAGGGACATCTCTACAGGCAGTGTCTTCTGAACTAAAGAAAAACCTCAACATATAACCATAAGTGCCCACGTTCACATAGAAACACCGTTGAAGAGAACCAAGAAAGTTTTTTTTATAACGAGTTCCCAAATGGAAATTTCTCCCTGTTGTATTCATGTGAACAATAAAAACTCCTCTTTCGTGAAAACAGACATATTAGCCCAGCTTCTACCCTGACCTATAACCCTAAACATGTCACAAATAACAGGAGAATTACATGTTTATCTTATAGTTGATAAGCTTTATAATTCAATGTGACACAGAGAAGTTTCTATGTGATCACTACTCACAAAGGCTTCACTTGTAATTTGCTGGTCTCCCTCTGGTTCTTGTTTTCTTGTGTTTTTTAATGTGATACTAAAGAGAGCTGAGGGTAAAACGGGTTTTGTGAAGTATGGTTCTAGTTGCTGAATAATGGCTGCTGTTACTTTTTTCTCTACAGCTGCAGCACAGCCCCAGCAATGAGAAGACACTGTTCTGTGTGCAAATAGAAAAATGAACCAGGATCATGTTCAGTTTTACGGACCGATGAAATAGGGCAAAGCCTGAGTATCATTTCAGTTTACCAGACTAGAACTGGGCATCTCTAGTCTTAGTGGTTATTAAAGTTTGTTAGTCATAAAAACACTTACACATCCAGGTTTCCCTCAGAAAAATAAGCCAGGTGGTCAGGGCACAGATATTACCATATACCATAAATACCATATTTTTGTATTAAAAAATGTCAGGCTGACAGGAAATGTAAAAATATTACTGGATAATAATGGAAGACACTTATTTAAACACAATCATAGAGCTTTAAAAGCAACAGAGCAAAAAAAACATACTTGAAATAAATCATTTTTGCACTGCTGTTAAATCCCAATCAAGTCATCAGTGAGTGGATCTTCAAACACAATGTAATTCTAATCACAATTAGAGCTGGCCCACGGTATAAATAAACTAAGAAGCAGTTGAAAGCCCCAGACATTCAGGGCCCCATATAGGACATTTTTAACACACACTGGTCTAGAATTTTAACATTTATAATCCTGGCAAAGATGTTTTTACTCTCACATGCATTTCCTTAAGAGTATTCTGATGAAAATATTCAGATGAACTGAATTCTGTGATTTGTCTCTGATCTTTTTTTTGCCATTAGATCACAATCACTGAAACGGTATTGTTCCTGGTCCAGTACACATCCAAAGAGTTTGATCGCTCAGAGAAGACAGTGGCAACTGGTGACTGCTGTTACCTCAACCCGTTGGTGCGCAGAATCTTCCGTTTCCTTGGTGAGGCTCTCATTTTTTCAGGGTAAATGAAATGGACCTCTTCAGCTCTTTTCTAGTCATGCAGACCAATCAAAGCTGCACTCCCAACATTCACACATTCATACCCAAGTCTGTAGACAACAGAAGATTAGTCTGGAGGGGTTAACTGGGATCAATCCCACAACTTTCCAGTTAAAATTACTCTTCCCAATGAAACACTGGCTCCCCAAATTGGGAACGTTTTCAAAGGAGTCACTGCCAAACCAATTCCACTAAATTTACCTGAGTTAAATTTAGTGGAAATGTTTTATACCCCAGGCTCAGACTCAAACATCTATAAACTGTTCACAATCTGAAGAGACATTTCAAAGGTTTTTTGTGACACTGGGCACTTTAACCAGAACGGTTTTCCTCTTGACTTTTGGTATCTCTACTTTACAAGACTAAGAATATTCCTGGCTATATTTTGCATTTGCCTGTAAAGGATAAAAGGGAAAAAATGCTGTATTTATTGTTATCTGCTGCTTTTCGGGGGTCAGGTCCGGGGTAACAATGTGTCCTTCATGAAAAATCACATTCTTTTCACGGCTCTTTACCCTGAACCAAAGACTGGAGTCTCAGTGAAAGTGGCCCTTTAGTTTGTACAACTTTGCTTGCTTATAATGCTTTGCACACGTCAATAGTTATTATTTGCTATTGAATTTAACAATATTGATTTAATCTGCGAAAAATGCAGATTAAATGAAAGAGGGTCTATGTTTTATAGAAACATATATTCAGCTCCTCCTCTGAAATTCTAAGATGTTCCCACACTCTTTTAACAGTTTGACATATATTCTGTGTCCAGTTATTTATTTTTGTTACCACAAAAATAACAAACTTTTGTTTGTGGTAAACTTTTGTTTACCACAACTTTTGTTACCACATCGGCCCCCGCCCAGCTCCCTTTGTTAAAGCCACCGCACTTAAAAAAAGTTTGCTAAGCCACTGACTAATTATAAACTTTCAGTTTCTCACATAATATTTTTTTTGAATTGGTAAAATAGGGTAAATAAATAGATGTGATTAATTAAAGAGAGAATTGATTAATTTAACTCTCAGCTGCTCAGCACTCTAGGAACCTACAGAGGGCCCCTGCCAGGTAGCCAATGCTGAGACTTTAAAACTGGCTTAATGTGAATTTATATCCAAAATATATCAATGAAGGATGTTTGTCATTTACTCCTGCCCTCAGGATCATTACTGCATGTCCTGCTCTTTTTCAGCTCAAACTCTTCTGGTGAAACAAAATAGTTAAAAAATTATAATTATTATTTAAAACTTTTTTTCTTGTTGTATGTTGTAACTCAAAGCTCAGTTCCCTATGTGATCATTGTCAGATTTTCATTTGTTAAATGGGATTTGTTATGCAGAATTGTCTTTTTATACTTTTTGTATATTTGGTCTCAACAGCTTCTAGAAGCAATCAGAGCTCTAAAAACAACCACCCAGCCATTTCATTGGCAATCAATTAGTGTTTTTTGATGTCTCATCAGTTTGCAGAAAGACAAAAAAAGTTATGTCATGAAAACGTCTGAATGGGTTAGTCTGACCCGGGATCTCATACAGGGTGAAAAGCTCCAGCAGGCCCTCTCAGTCCCTCCTGAGGTTGTTTCTGTCCAGAAAATGCTGCTGCCTCCTTCATGGTTGTGCAGGAGGCTCCAGTTCTTCTGCTTCTGGTTCTGAGTCAGAGTCAAAGATGCATCTGCTGGTAGCCTTTTGATGTTTATAAAGTGTAATCACTGAGCTACTTTGCTAGCTAAGTAGCAGCAATTTGCATAATGATGATGCAGCCCTGAAACAGTTCAGTCTGGAAGGTGTTCAAAACATGTAGAACAGGGCAGGTGAAATCTTGTTTTATATGTTTTATATAACCCATGACCTATAAAAACCGTTCAGTGGAGCATAATACTCCTCTACATTGAGATGAGGACAAATGGTAGAAGTTTACAGAGTTTGCTGCTGTTGGCAGACCAAATGGCATATATAAGAAGAAAAAGATAGTTTGTCATTACAGACTTGAAGTCAGAATTTGACTTATAGACATTTCTGTTATTTTATTGACTGTGATTAGCTGCTGATGCTGCTATGTTCTTCTCACACATGCGTACACACGCGCATACACAGCTCGATCATCAGCAGGTCTCTCTCATTATTCTCCCAGCTTTACCTTGTTTGGCTTAGGATTCTTATTAGCATTGTGAATGGAAAGACTGTCATTTTTCTATAAAGAGACTGCAGCAGGTGTGTAAACAGTCCACATGTTTTGATATTGTAACTGTTCTCTTGTATAATTCACCACAGTGAAAGCTTAAAACAGCATCAGCAGGGACACCCAACATTTCCTTCCAAGTCCTCCTGACCTCGAGCAGAAGCCAAACGCTTTCAGCTTTTGCTTCTTTTCAAATTTTTTCCTGCTTTATTTGAGCTAATATCAAAACTCACATGTTCCACTAAGTGTGCCTGCTTCTGTTCTGCTTTTGTATATCTGCATATGTGCCAGACAGAGCTGGTTTATTCCCACTGGTTTCTGCATCTCCATCTGCAGTGGAGCGGGAGCTTCATGTGCTCAGCCATCTCGCAGTTTCACAGCACTCTCCTCTCATTCATGCGTATCCAGGCTTTGCATAATGACTCAGTGTGGCTGCGCTGGTCGGGGAAGATTAAATTTAGAACAGAGCTAAGGGCCGTGGAGCTCTCACACACTCCACCAGTGTCTTCAGCTGTATGCAGTCAGAGCTTTGTGTTGATGCACAGTCCACTCAGTCAATCAGTAAGATACTATGCAGAATGCTAAAGCTTTAAGTGTATTTTTAAATTAAGGGTAGTAATTTTCTATTATAAAATAGATTATTTTTGCATAGAAGAATGACAATATGAGCTATGAATAAACCTTTCCCTTCTGCTCTTTTCTTTTCATTATTCCTGGGGTTAAGGATCTAGGTCAGGTGTGGGCAGTAAGGACAGAAATATCATCCTAGTGGTATTATCTTTATTGGAAGGAAGTTTTTTATTGCATGACATCAAAAATCCTACTCACTTGCCTCCTGTGCTACTTAAGTTCCTGTCTGATTTTTATTTCTCACTGGTTTCTGGTTTGGTTTTGGTAGGTTCATGTTCACTCACTGTTATTCCTTCTTCATGCCCAGCCTGTTATTTAGTACTTTTTTAAACTTATTTTACATAAACCTCAGCTATGGCACTCTACTGCCGCTGTTGGTGCTTTGGCTCTTTGTAATTCAACCTCACCAACTACTACAAGAATCATGGATAATCTCTTCTTATGATGGGAGTATGTGGATACACCTGCAAGTTTCTTATATGTACCACTTTTACCTTTTCACTGTACTGCAGAAATGTTGCTGTTCTGCATCCTCTGCAGATACTTCAAATCTGCAGAAGAATATGAAGAATATTTCTATTCTATTCTATGCAGATATATTCCTCTTGAGTGTAAGGGTGACAACAGTCAGATAAACACATTTTATAAAATTAACACTTTCACACTGTGTTGTTCTGTATTCAACCCTATGCATTGACTTTGCCCAAGTGTGTGTGAGCACTGGTGAGCGGAGATTCTGGGTAGCTGTGGTAACTTTGATGTTGACTTGTGTAGAACTACAGCTGTGTGGCGATACTGGCAGTAGATCTAACAGGAAGTGCATTACAAACACACACACACACATATACATATACATGTATACACACACATACAGGTAAAATTCAGATATTTACATCCATCTTATAAAAAAAATTAACCTTTCTTCTCATTGTTGGACATTAATTTAGTCTAAATTTTCCCATTCATGGCAGGTATGATCAAAAATATTTCTGATTAACCATCTATCTGTTGCCTTAGCCTCCATCCTTCAATTCTTCTCAGTTGCTATAACCTGCACCTGTTCAAGCGCTGATACAATGTTCTTTCAGGTATTCAGTCCTTGCCAAATCAAAAGTCACATCATGTGAGTAAAAATGTCCAGTAGTCCTTCCATAAGTGTTTCTGACTCCCTGTTCTTGACCAAGCCTTCACTCCCTCTACCTCTTCTCTTATCTATCCTGGATGTGTCATTCGCCAACCCATCGCCGTTATGGACTTCCACTCTGGTCACAGACTCCCGCAGGATCTGAATAATCCCCTTTTGATTATTCTGATCATGCCCTCTTAATTCCTTCCTGTATTCCAACCAAGGTCTGCTCCTACATTCTCCATTTACTCATTGTGTCCATTCTCTGACAAAGATGTTCCCTTCTTGGATTTCCTCTCATCTGCTGTTGACGGTTTTCCCATACCATGAAACCAGTACTCTGAATTAGAGCACCGGTGCTCTAAATCAGGGTACACCTGGACAGGCTCCAGGTTTCCTGTCTCTGTGATGCCCTGTCTCTACAGGACAAACAACCATGCACACACACCTAGGGAGAATTTTAGAAATACCAATTAACCTGACAGTCATGTGTTTGGACGGTGGGAGGAAGCCGGAGTAACCAGAGAGAACCCACACCTGCACAGGGAGAACATGCAGATCCATGCAGAAAGACCCCGGGCTGGGAATCAAACCTACAAGGCTACAAGGCAACAGTGCTACCAATGGCGCCATTGTGCAGCCCCTAATTTTTACCCTTGAAATTAGATAAAGTTACCAATTTTTATGAACTTATCCCAGGAATGATGGGATGACACGCCTGCTGTTATTTCTACTCCAGTTTCTTGGCTCAAGTAGCCAGGGGACTGGCAGCCTCCACCTCAATTCAGTTCAGAGGACAGTTTGGTGAGCGAAGACTCCAATCTTCGAACCTGCTCATCTCAGTTCCAAGTCCTGATGGGGATGGAGCTTGTTAATCTGCTTCCCTGTTTGCCAACCATGCCACATTCTTCATCTTCTCACCTGCTCCATCTCATTCATTCCATAACTCGCCTCTATTCCATCACCAATATGTGATCTACTCATCTCTCTGGCATTCCTTCCATGTCTGTTTTT